AAAGAGTGCAAAGGTGCCTGTCTCTTGCTGGCTATGATATAAGAGGCCATAAAGGCTGTGTCAAGGAAGAGCTTGGGCATAGGGAGGGTTGCCAAAACCCAGGTGGGGCCTGGTGATTTCCCAGAATTGCAGCAGATCTCCAGACTACAGAGATCAGCTCCCCTGGAGAAAATGGCTGTTTTAGAGGGTGGACTGGATGGCATGATGCCTTGCTGAGGTCTCTCCCCAGGTTCCATCCCCAAATCTCAATGGGTTTCTGAACCCAGAGTTGGCAACCGTAGATTATAGGGTTGCCAGCTCTTGGTTGGGGTGGGGCATGGGGAGGGACCTTAGCAGGGTATAATGTCACACCCTCCACCCTCCAAGGCAGCCATTTTATCCAGGGGAACTCACCTCTGTAGTCCGAAGAACCATTGTGACAAGTCTGGGGGAATCTCCGGGCCCCACCAGGAAGTGTTACGGAAGTGAGAATTCCGCCCAGCGGAACTGCCCTGTTAGTAATCGCGCTCAACTCTATGGTCTGCCCCAGAGAGGGAGGGCGAGTCCTCGAAACGAGGCCAAAAGGACCGGGCTTTCACCATAGATATGCCGGGGCCTAGAGCGGTGGCCTTTCGCCGGGCGAAGGCTTGTGACGTTTCTCAGGTCGCCTTGGTAACTGCCCCGGCTCTCTGTCTCCGCCCTCGAGCGGGTGGGGGTAGGGGGAAGAAACGGCCTCTGACGCAAACTCGTCGCGTCCGTTCAGGTGACGCCATTCTGGCCTCGACGCGGCGGCTTCCCTCACGGGAGGGAGGAGGGGAGAGGCCATGGCGGCGGCGGCGGCGGGAGCCTCGGGGTCGGGGCGGCAGCCGCGGGCGACGCCGGTGGGGCAGGAGGAGCTGTGAGGCGCGGCCCAGCTCCGAGCTCGTCAGGCCACCCGTGCCCGGACGAGAGTGAAGAACGGCCCCCTCCCCCCCCCTCCTCCCGAGCTTTTGGGGGCAGCAGGGAGTGGAGATGCGAGGGGCCCTCCGCTGCTCCTGTGAGGGAGGCCGGGCCGGGCTGGGCCGGGAGAGGATTCCTCCCGTGTCGTTCAGGGCCAGCTGGGAGCTTTGGATGCCGCCCTCACCGGTCCCCCTTTGACAACAGAAGGGCAGCAAGTGCTCCCGCTAAGCTGAGGCAGTGTGAGCCAGCTCACGGGGGGTTTTCTTTTACCCTCCAGGTCCCACATTTGTGTCTCCGCTCGGGAAGGAGGGCTCCAGAGCCAGACTAAGTTATGCAGTAGCCCAATCGCCAGGAGCTCACAAAGCAGAGGTTTTGCTCACAAGACCCCGTAGCTTAGAGGGAGCATTGCACGGCTGGGGCCAGTGTGTCCCTCTAAGCTGAGTGAGTGTCAGCCAGCTCGCAGTTTTTTAGCCTCCGGCTCACACATTTCTGTCTCCGCTCAGAAAGGAGGGTTCCAGAGCACACTAAGTTGTGCAGTGGCCAAGCTGCTTGCTCACCACTTTAATGCCAGCAGCTCACAAAGGAGAATTTTTGCTCACATGACTCTACAGCTGAGAGGGAGCATTGAAAGGCGGCATATTTCTTGAGGAAATGCAGGGCAGTGGTGGTTAACAGGCTGGATATCTTTAACTCGCTCTAGGCACACGTTTGCTCTTTCGAAATCTCTGTCATCAATTTGCAGCCTCTTAAATGGATGTTTGAGTTTGACCTCAGGTCCCTGTTTTCCTTTTTCAAAGCATAAATGTATTCCCTTAATGTATTTGTCTCCCACCTTCCCCCCAAGGGTGAGGAACAGAAAATTACCCAGTGGTATCTCTTTTAACGACAATAAAAGCAAATATCAGAAATTCAAACTACTGTTAATCCACCACTGAAACCAAAAGACCTCACTCTGCCCCACAAAGTCCACTTTGCCAGCCGCCTGTGGTCTCAACCAACTTTCCCAACCCCTCATGGGGTTTTCATGCGAGAGACAAGCAGAGGTGGCTTGCTGTTGCCTGCCTCCGCGTAGTGACCCTGGACTTCTTTGGAGGTCTCCCATCGAAGTACTGTCCAGGGCTGACCCTGCTTAGCTTTTGAGATCTGGTGACATCTGGCTAGTCTGGACCACCCCTCTTCTAAATCACTGCAGAATTCTACCAGATAATGCTGCCTCTTGGAAGGTAAGCAAGAAGGAGCCCTTCTTCCTTTTTTCATTGAGCCATTCCACAAGAGCAGAACCAGAAGCCAGAGTTGGCTGTGTGCCGTGATATTCCCTGCAAAATAGGGCTTTGAAAAAATAAAAGAGTTAGGCTCCAGAATTGAGATATTGAGTGCTGAGATATTTGGTTCTTTCTTAGTATTTCCTTAACTGAAAACTACATATAATAGTTTGGGAAACTTAAGTTGTGCTTTGTGCAATGTGCCTGTGAAGACTGAGTTGTTGTGGCAGACACACGTTCTTGGAAAGCAACACAAAGAGGTGAGCACTCATGTTTTGTTTGGTAACGTGTTTATATCAAGTCTGTTATGTTGCAGAAAACCCCCAGGATGTGCAGATTTCGGTCTTTCAACTAAACAGTAGGCTTTTGTTAGTCACTGAATAAAATAGTTGTTTCATGAAGTGTGTTTCAGATCTGGATGGGATAAAGGAGTATCCAGAGCATTCATAAAATGGGTTTTCTTAGTCAAGTCATCAGCCCACCTAGTCAGGCATTCAGCAGATACATACCCAGGTTGCATACGCATGGCACAAGCAGAAAAAGATTTTTAGTTGTTTTTGTATGATAAACCAGGTAAAGAAAAGGAATGTCTGGCCTACAGTTTTTTTTATTAGATTATCTTTATTTCTTTAGTGTGCTATTTTGAATTGTTTACCAGTTTTATAAATAATTTAGAGCAATTATGGATACATTTTGCCAATTATTTGTTTAAGATATTTCTCTGCTGCCCTGTTCAAGGCAGCTGGCAATTTTAAAAAAAACCCACAGCATAAAACAAAAGCCATGAGAAATATGGGGAAACGAGATCCCCTCCCCACCCCTGCAAGGCCTTGTGGATCCCTCACGCATAATTACCTCTATTTTTAGTATTGCTGTCCTTCTATGAAACTTTTAACCATCCCCAAGATTGGAATACTTTTTTTTCTTTCCTGAAGGAAGGATTAAAAATATATATATTTGTCTAATTATCTGTTGTAGTGGCCTTTAGACAGAGAATGGCCGCAGAGGAAGATGCAGACTAAGAGGAGATTCTGGATGCCAGGGAGATGATAGGATGCCGTGTGTGTGTGTGTGTGTGTGTGTGTGTGTGAGAGAGAGAGAGAGAGAGAGAGAGATTGATTTGCTAAAGGAGCCCTGGAAGGAGTGGTAAATGGGAACTCCAGATCACCACTACAGTCTGAACAGAGGGTTGTGCAGTCAAAAATGAGGGCTCTGAGCCGTGTGCCGAAGCTGTGGGGAGCGAGAGGGACTGACCTAGAAGGGAGCTGTTTGGGACAAGGCGGGCTGCATGTAGGTAAGCCGATGGTGGACCAGAAACTGCCTGAAAAGCAACACGGCATAAACTTTAATGGCACAATGGGACAGGACAGCTCCCTGTACATGTCCTTGTGTGTGTGTGTGTTCATGTTTTTATCAAAATATGCTGTTTGCTTGCATGCAGTGACAAGTGGGACTGTGTAGAGGCGAGAGGATCCCATCCGCCTCTGCTGCCCCCTCCTGTTTCTTTCTGGCCTCTGCTGCCGCCTTCCTTCCCCTCACCCTGTCCCACCGCCTGCCTTCCATCCTCGCCACCTCCTCCTCCCTCCAGCCTTGCTGGCTCACCCACCTGCCCTCTTCTCCTTCCTTTGCTACTCATCTCCCTTGCTCGCTTGCCGTGCTGGCTTTGTCCCCCTTGGTTACTTGCCCGCCTCTTCCTCTGCCACCATGGAGAGCAGTGGTCTTAGTCTGCCTGCCTTTCTTCACACACACACAGGTTCCTGATGCAGCCTGCCCTCTCCCTGTGAAGCTCTCCTTTGCCTTCTGTCTCTCCCGCCACCCCTGCCCAGTCACTCCACCTAGCAGCTGCTTGCAATGGAGAGCCTTGCCTTTCCTCTCCCTTGCCTTCCCTCTCTCTCTTTCCCTGGAACATGCCTGGTCCTTGCCCACTCCCACCAGTTAGTTATCCCCATGACCTGCTTGCAGTGTGGAGCCCCCTCACCCAGAAACATATTTTTTGGGGGGTACGGGGAGCTGTGTACCCCAAACATGGGTAAGGAGCATCAGACAGCTGGTGGAGGTGAACACACACACACACACAGAGCTGTCTCATGTTGAGTCAGACCCTTCGTCCAGCAAAGTCACTATTGCCCGCTGAGACTGGCAGGGGCTCTCCAGGGTCTCAGGCAGAGAGGTCTTTCCCATCACCTACTGCCTGTCCTTTTCATGGGAGATGCCGGGGATTGGAGTGAGGAACTTCTGCAAGCCAAGCAGAGGCTGAGCTACAGTACCTCCTGGGGTGGCCGGGCTGTGCCGGGCAAGGGGAGAGAGAAGGCAAAGAAAGACCTTGGCAGAGAAGGGGTATACATTTTTTCACCTGCTTGTTCCTCATCACGGGGCAGCTGTTGTCACTCTGGCTGTGCTGCTGCCTGTAGTCCCGGCCTGGACATAGGTGAGGCCCTCACACACACACACACACACACACTGTGGTTGTGACGTCAGGTGACATGATGATGGTGTAATTGCAGCTCAAGGACTCCTACCCTTTCCCCTGGGTTTAGAAAGCTTAAAGGCTGCTGTGAAGGACAGGCCAGGTTCCACCTCTCTCCCTGAGAGCGACCAATGAGAGCTGATGGAGTGTTGAGGGGAGTCAGTTGGACAACAGCCGTTCGTTTGCCACTTGGCCGCTGGAGAGCCGAGAGGGAAACTGTGGAAGAGCTGCTGAGAGCTGGCTGGAAATAGTTTGTGACCAAAGGATCCCAGTTCATAGTCCCGCTATACACTGCCTTGGTCAGGCCGCACATGGAGTCCTGTGTGCAGTTCTGGAGGCCTCCGTTCAAAAAGGGTGTGGACAGAATGGAGCGGGTGCAGAGGACAGTGACGGGGATGATGGGGGGGGGTGTCTGGAGACCAAGGCCTAGGAGGAGAGGCTGAGGGACCTGGGAATGTTCAGTCTGCAGAAGAGGAGATTGAGGGGGGACATGGTTGTGGACTCTAATCTGGGAGAACCGGGTTTGATTCCCCACTCCTCCACTTGCAGCTGCTGGATGACCTTGGGTGAGCCATAGTTGAAAGGGCAGTCCTCGCAAGAGCTCTCTCAGCCCCACCCACCTCACAGGGTGTCTGTTGTGGGGAGGGGAAGGGAAAGGAGTTTGTAAGCCACTCTGACACTCAAGTGAAGGGCGGGGTATAAATCCAGTCTCCTCCTCTTTACATATTTGAAGGGCTGTTAGAGGAGGTCAGGGAACTGTTCCTGTTGGCAGCAGAGGAGAGGACTCGCAATTATGGGTTTAAATTAAGGGCGGGAAGGTACCAGCTGGATATTAGGGAAAACATTTTGACAGTAAGAGTTGTTCAACAGTGGAACCAGCTGCCGAGGGAGGTGGTGAGCTCCCCCTCACTGGCAGTCTTGAAGCAGCGGCTGGACATACCCTTGTCAGGGATGCTCTGGGCTGATCCTGCATTGGGCAGGGGGCTCAACTAGATGGGCTGTAGGACCCCTTCCAACTCTGTGATTCTATGAATTGCGGTAAAAGGACCACAGATAAAAAGTTTAGTGGAAGCTAAATGTAACTTCTACCTTACTTTCTTCAGTGTTATGTTAATACCATAAATAAAAGTTAACTTCTTAATTTGTTTAACTCTACGGGCTGCGTGTGTCAGGGAAAGAAACACACACACAATTTAATATCTTGGTCTACACAGAGATGCAGGTGGGCACCCTGAAGACTGACAAAGTTGTATACCCAGAATAAAACTTTGTTGATCTTAAAGATGCCACTGGACTCCAATTTTGGCCTACACGTGTATCATAGGATAAGAATAAATGGAACAGTGTTTGAACCCCAACTCCGAAATCTCTGTGAGTGAAGGCTTGTCTACAAAGGGGGTTGGGCTTCCCTGTCTGTTGATGTCTCTGTGTGAGAGAGAACCACGGGGGGGGGGGGTTGAATGGTCAAGCCTTTCTATTTTAGAAGAGACGAGAAAGGTAGCTTGTGACGTCCTGATCTGCTTGTAACCCTGAACCTGAGAGAGAGAGAGAGAGGCGGTAGAGGGTGGTAGGCACTCTATGAGTGGAGAAGGGGTGTCACAACCGCGGTGACAGTGAAACTGAGTTTTCACAGTTTTGTGGCCGAACAAGCCGCAGTTGATTGTGCTGTTTGAATGCTGCTATTAATGCCTTCTGGAGGGACCCCACCTGAGAGAATGATTTGCCAATACCAAAGGGATTATCATAGTCAGAAAATGTCAGCCTGTGTCATGTGTTAAATAGTCTTTTAATCTTATTTGCGTAAAAGGAGTTAACTTTTTGCTTAATTCTGCGCCGGGTCTTCTTTAATCTTGCTTGCTTATGATGTTGCCAGTGGCGTTTATGGTTATTTTGAAAGAAATGCTCATTTGTCAAATATTCCGAGATGGTCCAACATAGTAATACTTTAATCCTTGAAAAGTAAAACCCAGACATTCATCTTCTGGTTCAAATTTTTCCTCCCCAGAAAGTTGCACAGTTAAAAGGTCTCAAGAAGTCCGTCCCGGCATCCACGCCCGATGCACCGTCGTCTCTCAAAAGGAAACCTGCAGACACGGAACCTCCAGAGCAGAAGAAAGCGAAAGGTAACACTTTAACGTGGTGTTTGCTGAACTGGAACCTGTAATTTTTCTATGGCTCAGGGGGTTTTGGGCCTATCCTTGAAAAACCGATGAAAACAGCAAACTTTGACTATGTCAATATCTCAATACAATACCATTTTATTTAGTACAGTCATTGACCAGAAAAAAAAAAATCAGCTGATAAAACTTTGAAATTCATACAAACATAAAATATTTGAAAACCTCTACTTAAATTCAATATTCACTATCTACTAATAGCTTGTCTCCGGATTTTGATAGCCTGCTTGGCAAATTTTCCCATACTTTTGTAATTTCCTGCTTTCTATCAGCCAGCAGCTTATCTAAGTGAAATCTTTCATTTCTCCCAGGAAACCAAGAACAAATCGGGGTTATGTAAATGGCTCTAATACTTTGGTACAGCTTTCATTTGAATATTACATGTTCCCTCGTTTCTACCTTCCCATCTCCACAGACACATAAGGTCACCTTTTCTCATAAGGTCACCTTTTACTTTGACTCTGTCTTTGGTGGCCTGTGTTTGTATATGCAAGCTACAGTGATGATGTACGTGAATACTGTATTTGCCAGTGTTATATTTCTAGACAGTGCAGCTGGTAAGTAAGTCCAGACCACATGGCTAATGCCAGTGTTTGCTGGGCCTGTGCGAAAGCAGGTAGCTTGTGAGCCAGGGAACTAGGTGGGCTTCAGTGCATTTCCATTCCATGCCAGAGCAGGGATTCCAACCTGAAATGAATGGGCTTCGACTAGCGTGGCTCTCCTTAGGGACGCCCTGTAAGGTTGCCCAGTGTGGTGCAGCGGTACGAGTGTCAGTTTGGGAGCTCCAGGCTGGCACCTTGGGCCCAGTCCCACCCTCTCAGCCGGACCACTTCGCGGGGCTGTTGTGAGGATAAATCAGAGGGGGAGAGAATGACGCAAGCTGCTTTGGGTCCCCGTCGGGGGGCAAGGGCAGGGTAGAAGTGAAGCAAATAAATAAGAATTCAGGCTGCCTTGACAGCTGTCAAGGTTGTGTCCAGAGCCGCCTGGTAGATCATAAGCTAGGGCATGCGGTGCGCTGTCTGAAATGCCGGCCAGGTGCCAGGGCCATGATGGAGCACTGTCCTACACTGATGACTCGGTGCGGTCCAAGGCTGTGCGGGGGGTGCCTCTCCAGCCACCCTAGTCCAAGGCGGGCCCCTTCACTGGCCACACTGCAGCTCAGCCTCCCTCTTGTGAAGTCTGCCTTCGTTTTTGTCAGAAGTCAGGGAGGTGTGGTACAAAACTCTGAAAACGGTGTCTTGTTTTTTTCCAGCTGCAGGTGACTGCCCACATACTGTTCCATCTGGGTAAGCTCGGTATTTTGTTGATAGGTATGGATGGAAACAAGACCCTTTCTCCTCCATTCAGTATGCAGAGGAATTGGGTGGGAGCCCACGGATCCGTTCTGCTTGAGGAGGCATTTTCGTCTGGCAGGTGGAACCTTCCACTGTCTTGCAGTGAGTGAAGTTTTCTTTCACTAGAGGGAAACTCCTGCAGGCAGGGTGCAGAACAGGCTGTTTGATGCTTTGTGTGCCACTGGCTTTTTGGCCGTTGCATCCGTTCTACCATAAACCTGCCTAAAAAAGTGTCTTTGTCTCATGGCGAGCCCCTGTGTAGAGCAATAGCTCATTGTGTGGAGGTGACCACTAGAGGGGAGCAATTTAACACCCCTTTCGTGTTGTTTTTTGGTGTGCTGGAGCTAGGATTGCCCCCTCCAGGTCGGGATACTCCTGGAGATTTTGGGGGTGGAGCTTGGGGAGAATGGGGTTTGGGGAGGGGGAATCTCAGTGGTGTGTCATGCCATAAAGCCCGCCTTCCAAAGCAGCTGTTTTCTCCAGGAGAACTGATCTCTGTTGTCTGGAGATCAGTTGCAATTCCAGGAGATTTCCATGTTAGCTGGAGCCCGTAGTTGCATGTTACACTTAGAGATGGGTACGGTTCTGTTGAATTTTCTGGGACTATTTCACTAAGCCTTGCAGTAGCCCTGAAAGAGAGATGGGGGGGGGGGGTTAGCCGTGTTGGCCTGAAGGAACAGAACAAAGTGTGAGTCCAGTGGGGCACCTTGGAGACCAACAAGGTTTAATTCTGGGTCTAAGCTTCTGTGCACGCACACACACACTTCTTCAGATTTTGCTCTAGTAGTCCTGAAAGACAGAGGAATCCGTATTGCTCCCTTTTTGCCGATCTGAGGGAGGCCGCAGTTCTTTGCAGTTGGATTTTGGACACGATGGCCTGGGCTGCTCCTGCACGGAGATGTTTCTTTGTGTAGCTCTTGTTGTCGAGTTTTGTTCATTCATTTCTTCATTAAGTTCATTTGACCAGTCATATACACAATTTTACAATTAAAAATTTGAAGTTTACAGTATACCAGATGAAGCCATTGCTGAGAAGAAAGGTAACGCCCAGCCCTTTGGAGTGCACCTAAAATAGCTGTGTGGGTCCCGGCTTATATCTGGCTGGGCCCTGCAGTAGCAGAGGCGGAGCACATCCAGTCAGCAGAACGGACCTGGGGGATCCCGCCCAGCCTGATTGTGTAGAAACACAGAACGTTTTGTCTCCTCCTCCTTAGGCTGCCGGCAGACTTCTTTAGCAAAACGAAACCGGCAGATGCCGGAGGAGTCTCTTCAAGAGAGGCAAGCCACGGTTTGTTGCTGAAAGACGATGAGGATGACGAGGATGAAGAAGAAGGGGAGGATGAAGAAGAAGGGAAAGAGCTCAACAGCAAACCGCCTCTTTCGCCCTCGGCTCAGAATACAATGACTTCAGCCCCTCTTCAGAAAGCTGCAGCTGGTGATTTTGCAACTCTCTAAGCATATCCCCCTTGGCAAAACAAGTTCAGTTGTGGGCAATGTTCCCTCTAAGCTGTGGAGTCTTGTGAGCAAAAATTCTACGTTGTGAGCAAGTGATTTGACTTCTGTATAAATTAGTTTGCTCTGGAGCCCTCCTTCCTGAGCGAAGACAAAAATGTGTGAACTGGAGGCTAAAAAACTGTGAGCTAGCTCACACTAACTCAGCTTAGAGGGAACACTGGTTGTGGGACCTCGCTAACTAGTATGATGCAAATCAGACAGTTGGAGTAATTTTCTTTTTTGGTAAAGTTATGAATGTAGGGGGGAATTGTGATGGAACAAGGAATGGCATAGTCTTTTGTCACTTCAGGACATGAGGAGCAGATAGACCATTTCCAAATGTAAACAGTTTCTGCTAGCTGCACCAAACAGAGGGCAGGGAGGGCACAAAAATGGTGGCCCTTGCTGGCTGCTTGCTTCCAACATCTGTTACTCAGGTGTGAATCAGTGGTTTGATCTGGCAGCTGTTGAGGCATCCTCCATGAAGTTTTCCAGGCTTCTAAAGGCCACTGAAGCCAGCGATCCTCACTAATGCGTAGCCCAAGCTTTGCATGTTTTCTCTGGCTGAAGTCCCACAGAGCTTACTCTCAAGTAAGCCTGTATAAAATTAGCCCGCTTGTGGGGAGGGCGGGTTATAAATATAATAAATATAATAAATAAATAAATAAATAAATATAGTATCGTGGTGAAGCGGTGGCAGCGGCTACAAGCACAGACAGCTTCAGGAGGGGATTGGATCAATATATGGAGCAGAGGTCCATCAGTGGCAGTGAGCCACAAGGTATAGGACGGTGGAACACTCTGCCTGGGACAGGGATGCTCTGTCTTCTTGGGGCTTGGGTGGCCACAGTGGGAGGGCTTCTGGAGATCTGGCCCGCTGGGGGATAGGTGGCCCCTGGATTTTGGCCACTATGTGACACAGGAGGTTGGACTGGGATGGGCCACTGACCTGATCCAGCATGACTTCTGTCAGGTTCTCATGTTCTTCTTATGTTCTGTGTTGTGTGGGGAACAAAGTGCTCCCTTTTGTTCATGCTGAAGCTGCCACCAGTCAGTTTTGCCAGGTGACATTCAGCCGTGACAATGAGAGATGAATGTCTCTCTGTCCTCCGGGCAGGTCCCCCCCCCCAACTTTCACGAGTGTTTCCTTTCCTGCAGACCACTTGGAAAACAAAACTGCAGCGGCCCCTGTGCCTCTGGTCTCCCATTCTGGCTCAATACAGAAAGCAGAAGTACAAGAAAAGACTGTGGAAAGGTAGAGTTGTCTTCTGTGAACAGTTCTAATCTGTGTTCGTCTAGCCGACTGAGAGGAAGTGAAATGTGCATTCATCTCTCACGCAGTCTGTGTTGTTCTCCATGATAATCTGACGTTTTGGCAGTTTTATCAAACAGAGCAAAAGTCCAGTGAAATTCGTACCTCTGACTTCAAACAAGGTTCCTTAGTGACTGCAGGCATTGATATGCAAAAGGCATTTAGGAGACTGGGTAACCAGAAAAATGGGGATTTGATGGCGATTTCCTGAATCGTCATCTGACGTTGGGGTTTTTGGATAATTCAACATGGATTCATTACTATCATTTTTAAAGGACAGGGATTCCCCAACACGGTGCCTGTGGGCCCCATGGCACCCCCGCCACACACACACGCACCTTCCCTGGCGCCTGCCAAGTGTTTTCAGAAAGTGGGTGGGGCCAAGTGGGGCTTTTGCTCAGCAGGCCTTCTGATTGGCTGTGCAGATCTTTTTTAGAGTTGCATTGGCAGCTGCTGACACAACAGCAGAAGGATCTTTACTGCATCACTGAAGGTAAGTGGTGTGTATGCAAGAAAATATTTCAAAGAATATATTCATTTTATCGTTTTAAAAGGCATTCTGTTAAATGGAGCTTCTGTCTGGAATGTTAAAGAGTTACTGTTTGATTCAGATGGGTCGCTGTGTTGGTTTGAAGCAAGAGAACAAAGTTTGAGTCCAGGGACACCTTTAGGACCAACCAAGTTTAATTCTGGGTATAAGCGTTTGTGTGCACGCAAACTTCTCAGCTATCTGAAGCAGAGTGCGTGCACACAAAAGCTTATACCCAGAATTAAACTTCGTTGGTCTTAAAGGTGCCATTGGAATTGAACTTTGTTCAGTTGCTCAAAGAGTTATGCATGACCTTACTCCTGAAGGTTTTGTGGCTGGCTCCGCCTCCTACAGCACTGATTTTGTACTTGCGTCCACTACACTATGCCAAAATTCTAAAGGTTCAAAAAGGTTGGGGCCTTCTGCTTTAAAAGGTTGTTTCGTCCATTTCCCCCCACTCACTCTAGATGGCATTACTCACTGAGTTTTTGGCATTACTATTTCATGTCCTAGTGTATTTTTCTGAAGGGATTAAAAATGTGCACAGTAAGAATTAGCTGAAGCTGAGCCTCCTACTTAACTTTTCAGGAGAGAGAACACAGCCGAAGCCTTACCGGAGGGATTTTTTGACGATCCTGAAGTGGACGCTAAGGCAAGTGTGACGTTTTCTGGTTATTTCCGCGCACGTTAATACTTTGAGGAATTAATCCAGCTAGCTCAGACTGCAGTAAGAGATTCACATAATCCCTGAAGGGCCTTCTTGGTCTCTTTTGGCAAACGATGACGTTAAGCCCCCAGCCCTTTTCCTGCGCAGTCATTAGCAGCTGATTTACTGTCGGCCTGTTATAGAGGTCTTTGCAGTGTGATACTTTAAAACAAGACTAGCCAGGTTGCCCTTGTAGTGCTCCAGTTTCTTCAGGAAATTCTTACACCTCTGAATGTGTCGACAAATGGAGAACAGAGTTTGTGTGTGCTATTGGACACTTGGCCTTTTGGAAACACCTGGGCTGGCTTCCATTGATCCTGGCAGCTGTACCTGCTGGCCCCGACCCCATTTCTTCTGTCTCTAGGCAGATCCGTACAGCTTTGAGTGTGTCAGTCTAGATTATAGCAGAGCATCGTATCCTGCCACTCTGCTCAGCTGAGCTTGGGAGCCCTCCTCTGACAGAAGGGGGTCTTCTATAGGAAGGCTCCTCACGACATGGGCAGAAGAGTGCCTTCTACTGGAGGAAGGCACCCATCTTGGCAGAACAGCAGGGCTGCCAGCCTCCAGAGATCAGTTCCCCTGGAGAAAATGGCTGCTTTGGAAGGTGGACTTTATGGCACGGCATCTTGCTAAAGCCTCTCCCTTCCCTAAGCCCCTCCCTCCCCAGGCCCCACCCCCAAAATCTCCAGGAATTTTTCAACCCAGAACTGAAAGCCCTACTAAGCAGAGTGGTAAGATCCAAGCCAGCGGCAAGATGTCATTTCAAAACGACAACCAATGTGGTGTCTGTGGGTAAGGGGCGAATAGATTGTAATCCCACTTCTTGCTCCCAGACAAGCGGTGCCCTGGGGCCTCTACTTGCCCCCCCCCTCCAGCCAGCACAGAGAGGCCACTGGAGAGACATCCAAGTGTGCAGAGAGCCCCCCCCTCCACTTCTGTACTCTTGCCAGGAACAGCTGGCTGGTTTCACTGACTGGCGGAACCTCCCTGCCCTGCCTTTGTTTTGACATCACTTGAGGTCACCCTTCCCTTCAGGAGCTCCATAAAAGAAGGTTCCCTTGGGAGGTTGGGCAGCCTTGGCTTTAGGAGTTTTCCCTGTCCTTGCAAAGGGGTAGGGAAACCTGTCCTGGAGGTCACATTCAGCTGCAGTGGCTGCATTTCAGAAGCAGTGCAGTCGTCTTTATAGATTGCCACCATGTTTGCAGCAGTGATAGAAATCCTCTTGAAGTGGAAACTAGTGCACCTGTGTTTATCTAAATGTCCTGGCAACCTGTGGATTGCAGGCGGGAATACGTGTTTGTTCATTTCCCTGTGCACAACGGAACTTGGTGCTGGGTGTGGTACTCGGTATCCCGAGACTCTCGCAAGTTAAAACAACCAAGGGAAGCAAGTGTGTTGCCAGTGTAGTTGCAGAGACGGGTTTGAAAATGTCTGCGCCCTATAGAGAGCCCTCTGTGAAACTAGAGAGGGGGACTCGAGAGGGTTTCCGTGACTGTGAGGCTCTTGTTGGCTTCGTCCCTTCCAGCGACTGGAGCAGCAGCGGAACGAGGGAGGCAATTTAAGCCAACGTGTGGGCCGTTGCAGAGCTTTCTTAGGATGCTCAAGGAATACCAGCGTCCCTAATAAGAAGTCCCCTGAGAGGAGTCAGTGCTGTGAAAAACCTTAGCCTGCGACCCTGAGGAGCGGCTGTCGGTCTAAGTGGGCAATACTGACCATGATGGACTAACAGTGTGATTCCGGATAGGGCGGCTTGGTGTGTTTTCATGCGCGCTGCCTTTGTTTGCTGTGTTTGTCTTGCTGCTCTTGCTTCCCAGGTAAAAACCTCAAATGCAAGGAGCCGTTAGCTTCTGTTGGCAAGGGAGGGAATGTGGAGGGAATGAATGCTTCCGTGTGTGGAGGGAATGAATGCTTCTGAAACAACCTTTAAAGCAGCTACTGATAGCATATTTTGGCAGAAAAATCTTTTAAAATTAACTTTTATTGTAATTAGGTATCTAATAACCTTGGAAATAAAGGCAGACCACAGTACAGAGCAAACAGTATTATGGTACCAGTGACCACAATGAACGAAACCGATCAGTGACTGAAAGAGTTACATAATCTTGTGATAAGTTATTTTGAAATGCTTTACATCTTGAAACAGTCATTTAGAAGTAAAATACATCTATGACTTGCATTTAGCTGGCAAAAAAATGCACAAAATACAGAGCTAGAATCAAGTTGCTACAACTAACTCTCCGAATCTTGATGTTCAGTGGACTTCTTGAGACCGAATTACCGTACAGAAAGCAAAAAGGGGATTGCTCGCCATCTCCTGGGGCCTGTTACACTTCTCATGGAGTTGCCCCCCCCCCCCCCGAGAGCTGCCCTTCACTTTTATGTTCACCAGCCCAGTAGGTGGTGAGGAAACCCCAGCTTCTTTTGCCTGCCCCCACCCCCTCCTCCTGGCAGGAGTCATGTTAGCTTCAGGTGTGACTCTGCAGGTAGAGGAGGAACCTGCAACGAACTCTGTTTCCAGTGATGGATTTGAAGGTAAAGTGTGAATCGTCTCCTTGATGCAATTTGGTGGCCCCAGAGAAAGCTGATCCTGAGCCTGGCTTCCATTGCCAGCCTAAAAAGGGCGAAGGTGGTGTGCTGTTGGTCACAGTGTACACACCTGGTCACGGCCTCCTCTGGCTCCCGGTATTGGAAGCGCACCTGAGATCTGGTGGAGTGGTCGGGTGAGTGATGTGGCAGGAGCTCTCTGGTTCAAGCCTGCTCCAGCCACAAGTCCACTGGGTGACCCAGACCAAACCACCACCTCTCTGTCCAAGTCCCCCATCTGCAATAAGGGACAATATTAATCTTTCCTCCATGTGTGTGAGGCACTGAAACACTCCCAAAGTGTTATATAAATGCTGAGAGCTATTAATACGCATCTCCTACTGTATGAAGGAGTGAGTCTTCTGCAGCATTGCAAGATTTGTAGGTTTCTGGAATAGGCAAGGCTCTGTCTCTCTGACAAAACTCTTACTTTTTTAATGGTGCTTTTAAAAAACTACTTCTTTGCAGGATACTCCCTCCCCCCCTTTGGTCATTCAACTCACACAAGTTGGTGTGTGTTCACTCCACTGCACTTTCTAGCACTGCAATCAGGTCTTGCAGTACGAGAATTGTCAGCTTATTTTCAGATATTTTGTTCTAAGTGGCACCCGTAATGTTTGCATGAAGGCAGAGCAAGTATAGTATCTGGAGTGAGGTTTTTTGTCCCCCGTGCAAATCGAGTCGTGAGTTGCTGCCTCCTGAGCACCAGCAGCTCTGCGTTGGAATTCTCCTTTGCCTGCAGCGTTTAGCAGAAGTAAAACCAACAGTGGGCTTAAAATTGTTGATGAGAAATCAGAGCAAGGCTTTGTTCTGTTCTTAGGTGCGAAAGGTCGATGCGCCAAAAGATCAGATGGACAAAGAATGGGATGAATTCCAGAAGGCCATGCGACAAGTCAACACGGTCAGTCGGTGCTTTCTGTCTCGAATCACTTTCAGGATGCCCCCCAGGGCAGAACCGGAGCTGGGCAGAGGGACTGCATTGGCCAGCCACTTGCCTCACTTCTCTGTGTTTGCAAAGTGAATTTTAACTGTCCGCTGTCTATCCTGTCTATCCAAAATTCATATTATGAACTGAACACGTTTTGGTAAAAGGCTGTATTCTTTTAAATCTATTTTGCGGGCAGTAGGCAAAAAGAAAAAGAATGGTGAAGATTTATGTGGTTTATTTTCTGAAATGATTCATGGGCTCTATATAAAGGAACCACAGTATGTACATGCCACAAAACTATACTGAAGTGGCCTTAAGACACTTTTGTCAATGTTAGCTTGTTTAAATTCTGCGTTTTACTTGATGAAACATGTATCTACCAGGTCTCTTGTTCCTTTACACACAAAGTCTGTATCTGCTGCTGGAATTTTCGGGCTTTGTCTTGAGTTTTAACTGTCCTCTGGTGTGTATTTATATTGGAAGATCTGCCTCCCTCCTCACACAGGTGGCTCCATCCGCAGCTTTCCAGGGGGCCCTGGCAGATTCTACCTGCCAGTTTCCCTCTTGTTTCGTGCCTTGGCTTTCAGGCCTCTGGTGGTGGCAGAAAATTCCCCCCCAATGAATATTTGGGCGGAAAGTGTCACAGAGCAGTCCTCGTCCCGTTCCCAAATGCCCCCGGTGCCATCAGCGCAGCAAATGTTCGTACGAGATCGGTAGTGGGCACATTGTGTGAACACGAGCGATCCTCAAGGGCTCTTCTTGGCTACAGGTTGACCATTGGCTGCACGGCATCTCCCAGACACTCAACCTTGAGAAAGTATATGCTGAAAGAGATAACAGGTTAAAGCATTTTTGAAATGCAGAGGAGATGGTTAACAAAGCATAGCGAGAGCTCCTAGGCCTGACTTACACTACTGTGGTATGTTTGTAAAGCATACTAAGATATTTTTGGAGATCGGTGCTTGGCTTTCCAAGTTTCCCAAATAATGTACGACCGTGACCCAGTGCAGGCACAGCTCTGGCACTGTCTTAGGTGAGGAGGGGATAGGAGCAGGCCCCTCTCTGTCTGCTCTGCATGCCTTCACCAAGCCCAGAAGGAATGGTGTTTTGAATTTGCTGACATTCTGAAGAACCTCATTAGCCCTAAGCAAACACCGGTACTGCCGTATCCCTCGGCTGTGGTGAATGTGGGATGGTGACTCGGCTGTGTGAGAAGGGAGGAGGGAGGCCTCTCAAGCGCAACTGGGGAAGCCAGCCTGGACTCCACTCAAGAGCCCCTAGTGAGAGGTGGTGCCCCCCCCCCACAAGTTGACTAAATCCCCCTTCAACCCCCCCCCCCTTCTGCTACATTGGAAAATAACATCCCTGTCTCTTATGAATTAGATTTCAGAAGCTATAGTGGCCGAAGAAGATGAAGAGGGGCGACTCGATCGTCAGATTGGGGAAATTGATGAACAGATGTAAGTCAATAAATTGTGACTTCCAAAACCCTTGTGGTTTCCATAAAACACCACAGTTGATTTGTTTCTCGAAAAGATAACTTGCTAATTGTATAATTTCACTCAGCACTTGATTCTTAAACTATTAATTTGCTGATGTATATCTTTTTTTCAGTTATATCAGGCTTGAATGTTTAAGAGGACAAATGCAAGCAAAGCCTTTCAACGAGGCAAAAGGGCATTTTAAAGTCTCTCAGATGTTTAACTTTGGCAAGTTGCCTGTTCACCAAAAGGGGTCACACTGGAAATTCAACATGAGCTAGTGAGGCACAATAATTTCCATAAGTTATCATTTCTATATTGATATACTGTATGCTTAAATGGGTCTCTTGAAGGCTAAAGGTAGGGTTAAATTGATCGTCACTTCTTAATATCTGGCAGATTTACATAGGGCTAGTTCATACTGTGCTTAAAAACAGCTAAAATTCTGTTCCCTTGCTTTGCAGTCTGTATATATCAACCAAAGTCAGGCAAAATTACATAACTCTGCAAGTTTTACTATCCTTTTACATATTGGGGAGGGACACTGAAACCCCCTGCTGACCTGGAAATCTAGTCCAGCAGCTCTTCTCGTTCTAAGATTACACAGGCTTTGCCCACATACGTTCAAGCACATATTTGTAAACATGAGGGCTAGGAGCTTGCTTTTTTAAAAAAATGAAAGCCAATATTCTCAGCCGAATCCTTCAGCCACAGTTGCATTCTGCAGCTCTTCACATGCTTGTTGCCTGGATCCAAACGATGGGATTTGGAAGCTGTCCCAAGCCTCACAGATATTTCTAGCATCAGATTAGCCACCCCAGGGGCAGGGTTCTGCTAGGCGTCTTTTTAGAAGAACACTCTCAATGCAATCGCCGTGGCTTTAAGATACTGGCGAGTGGCGGATATTTTGATGGGCTTGGTTAGCCTTGAAATCGCAAGAAGATGGGATGAAAGAAAGCTTAAAGTTAACTTCTGGATTTCTTTTTAGTGCCGTTAGTTTCTGGTTCTGGTTCTGATGGAAAACGTAGAAGATTTCAGACAGTGCTGAACCTGTCGTTTCCCCAAATACAATCAGATGGGCATTGATAACACCTTGCCCCAGTTATCCTATTGTCTGCAATTTAAGTACTGCTCCCCCCCCCCAGCATGGATAGAATGAACTTTGTGTTAAAAATAAGCAATGCGCAATTGGTATCAGGACAGGGGAATGCCGGCCTGCTTGATCCCTCAGCATTAGAGCACTATGTTCTGTCTGCTCCTCCCCCTGGCCCTGATTACTCCTGCAGTGCTTTGGTGGCAATAAGAACATAGAATTGGGGTTTGCAGGAGAGGAGTTTATTAGCACTCTTCTGGTTTCTTGCTGGTTCAAAGAGTTCTGGCTTAGAATGGTCTTGTTTATGACTATCTATGGAAACTGTGCAAGAAGTTCTCTTCCTGAGAGTACAAGGAAAACTTGCTGGTTCAAAGAGTTCTGGCTTAGAACCCATTTAAGGTCTTGTTTATGACTATCTATGGAAACTCTGCAAGAAGTTCTCTTCCTGAGAGTACGAGGAAAACTACCTTTGCAGAAGTTTGATCTCTGTTTTCAATATGGTGTTAAATGGGGATGTCTGAAAACGGTTAGCCTTGACCCAGCTGCTGTCATTTTCTCTCCTGTCACAAGGCAACTTGTTCAGCTTAGCGAAGGAACTCTCGTTCCAAGGATCCTCAACTATTAGTTGCCAGCTCTGGAAACATTGCTTTTTGATGTTCAGTCTGATCTTGGAGAGCCGTAAAGGTTCCGTGGATCAGCTCTGAGATTTGCAGGTTCCTGCCTCTTCAGCGCTTTGTGTGCCATCTTTACGCCTTAAAGGTTTGCAGTTAAGCCTTAACGTTGTTCTCATGCTCTTAGGTTACAAGCGAACCAGAACAGGACTGCAGTCACCACCCTGTATGCAGGGCTGAAGTAACAGCTATTCTAGATAGCTGGAAATAGGCTGTTTCTGTGTAGTTATCATTGAGGAGCAGACTTCAAAAAGAGGAGGAGGGAAGAAAGTGAAGCAAAATCTAGTGGTCAAAGATCGATCCTAAGTATTTCGTAGCACGTCTTGCCTGAAATCAGTAATTTCCAAACTGCTGTGGGAAAACATGGGATTCCTTGGAAGCTTAACATTCTTCAGTGAGAACCTCTGGGTACCCAAGAACAGGCCCCAGGATTCTTTGCTGCAATGCTGACGGCATCTGAGGCAGACACTTAGGCACTCTGTGGCAGAAATACATGGGAAATGTCCCCCAAAGATGCATGATCTGAGCCCTGCTGCCTTTCCCTGGGCAGGCAGGGCTCGGATCATGTATCTTTGGGAAACACTAAAGAACCTGCTCTCCCAAAGGACAGAACAAGCAAACAAGAGGAATACCTGCGTCCATGCGGATGTGTTTAGAAGTCTGTCTCCGTAAGTTATGGAGGAGATCATGAACAGAGGGCTATAGGTTTGACTTGACCACCCCTTAGTGCACAATGTTTCTGAACAACCATAAAACTTTTTTCTACAGAAACACAGCCATTCATGAGATGAGGGGCTGTTGACAGGTCCTGTAGAACTTTAATACAGATAACTTTCCAGTTAACAACACCAGAGAAATACAATCCATGAGCCGGGAGAGAGAAGACCAACTGCAGTAAAGCCTCCTAGAAAGCGCTTCCGTTATCGCACTCTAATTTTTTTGTACAATGCAGGAGGTGAAGGAGGCAGCAGCTCCTATAGCATAACCAGCCCATCCAGAAATAACATGGAGCTGCGCATCATAAAAGACCTGCATAGCTAGGAGCGGGGCCTCCCACAGGAACTGTGGGGCTAACAGAGAAGATAGCCGCAGCTTCCCTGGGAGGCAGTCTCAGCATGGAAGATGGCCCAAAGTGACTTCTCAGGATGCTCTAGCAACAGTGCCCCGCAGGGGTAGTGAGCCGCTGGTGGCACCCTAGCTCTAGCTGCTGCCCCGTTTGTCACTCATATGTCGGAAACTGGACTGTGTGAGTGTATCCCTGATAGAACCAGTGATACCAGTTGCCCTCAGACAGCCATTTCACGTTGCACCCCATTTCCAGGGACATAACCACAGCGTTCTTCTCTTGCCCCAGTGAGTGCTTCCGCCGTGTCGAGCAGCTGCGTGACCGCCAGGAGATCATGAGAGAGAAGCTGAAGGAAGCGATGCGCCTGAGAGCCACCCGGGCGGAAGAGGACGACGATCTCGGCAGTGAGGACGAAGGGGAGCTGCAGGACTTGCTGTCTCAGGACTGGAGGGCCAAAGGGACTTTGCTGTAGCACCCAGTCGAAGAGGAGCGAATCTCCTGCGTGAGGCTACTCTTGGATCGAGTCATAACCATTTGGTAAAGTATTTATTTGGCCAGGTGTTAAAAATCTATTGTAAAATGTGTTGACCAGCTTAAAATAGGGGGGGAATGTAAAAATTGTACAATATAAATCTTTTTTTATAAAGTCAGATGTAGCTTTCCTATTAAAATACATAGAAAATGTTCATTTCCTCTGTAAATCAAGTGTAGCCTGTGATGCGTCAGCTCAGTCTTTAAGTGCTCATCAGTGTGTTTTGTTTCCGTTGGCAGCTGCCGAGCACACAGCCCTTGATGCTTCCTTAGCAGCACCAAGCAGCTGGTGGGACTGGGCTACAGGGGCCGTGCGTTCCCTCCTTTCCTCCTGGAATACAAATCTCCTCTGCCAGACTCCATCACAGCTTAAATTTGCTCCTGCATTAACTAAGGCTCCTTCTTTGCCAGGATTTGAAAGTAGATCCTGGTGACTAAACAATTGCTTAGTCCGGCCCGGCGGGATTTCTGACCCCCACATTCTGTGAAACTCTTTGATTTTTGAAGTGGTTGGCTAAAGCCCATTCAAGGGACTTGATCATCCCAGAAGGATGCACCGATCTCCTTGTCTACCTGTGCTGCTGGCGGCTGGGTTGTGGAGGAGATGCTGGCCATCTTCTGAGCCCACTGATGGCAGGGAGCAAGCCAGGCCCCTCGCTGTGTTTCTCTAAGGAGTTGTGTTGGACGGCCTGGCCAGAAACCTTCAGCACAGGCTCAAGTCTCATGATGGTCCTGTGGCACCTGGCCAGCTTTGAGTCCTCTCCCTACTGAGACATACGCCAAACCTCCCATTCTGAGGCCTTAGGTTTACTGACTGATCTGCTGACTTCCTCGCAGCAATACATTTGTACCCCTGTCCTGTTGCTGAATACTCTTTCCTGGCTGATTTCTAAGGACTTGGTGACTGATCTGGCTATTGTGTGTTTTATCCCTGGATTTATTCCCTAGGTTTGTTTGTGGGGGTTAAAACAGAGCTGTGAATAGGCGCTGCTGCACTGGGGAAAAGAAATGTTGCTATATGAAATACTTCTGTGTAATTCTAAAGTTCTTAATTTTATAAGCAGAAAAGGCTACTTCTTGTAACCTCCAACTTTGTAGTCACCCTGCAAAGTAATGAGAGTTTCATTTTCAAGCATTCTAAGCATAAGACTCTGGGCTATAGCCTGTACTTTGATTTCTGTTGGTTTTTCCTCCTTCACTGACCCCTGCAAACTGGGCTTTTCTGCATTCTTATTTTCCTTGCTTCTATGTTCCTGTAGCTTGGGTGGGTTTTCTATTCTACACATCTTTTGCTCCCTCTTGTGGTCAATTCCATATTGCATTGCTGTATATCCGGCATATCTCCCTGTAGGTAATATCGAATTGACCACTAGAGGGAGCAAAGCACATGCAGAACAGAAAAAAATACCCCTAAGCAACAGAAGCACACAAGGAAGGAGAATGAAAATGCGGAAAGGCCCAGGGGTTTGGGAAGCACAACAGGCTGCAGTCAATGTGAAACTATTTGCTCTGCACAGCATCCAGCCTTGCATTACTATTTCCATGTAGGGACTTGGGAAAATTTTAATATAGTCACAAAAGCAATAGGGTAAACAAGATGCTGAAGTCTGGCAAACATAAACAAAAATCTGACTTGACGGTGCTAACCTACATCTGGAAAAGCCTAATCAAAGTCTCTGCTTGGGAGAAAATGGAGTGTTAATTTTTACAGAGGTGTAGGTGCTGCTGTGAACAATAAGGCTTGACTCTACAGGGGAGCTTTAAAAGCCTGGCGCTCAGGATGCGACTCTAGATATTTCACAGGCAAATGCTGGACTGTGGCTGGGCTTCCTAAAAAAGCTATCAGTTCTCTCTTGATATCCCGGTCTGCCTGCAGATCTGAAGTTGACAGCTGCAGTCTTGAATGGTCACGTGCTCTCACGTAAGAGGCTCGTGGCAGCCCAGTGAAGTATGAGTTTTCTTTGGATGCCAGATCTCCCACTTTGTACCCCAAGCTTGTTCCTCGCTCTCTCTTTCTGAACCAGTTGTAGCCTTGCTTCTTCAGAAATACGAGACTGAAGTCTTCTGGGCGTTGTGAGAGAGGGTGCCTTGTACAGCCTTCTCTCTGCAACCCTCCCAAGACTGAGTACCCTTTTGTGCACAGAGGGGCCCATATGTGGGGAAACTGCTTTCTACAGAGGTGTCATCCTTGCTGACTTAGGGTGTGTGGCTCTGGTAACCAGCGTACAAAGAGGAAGCTTTAAAACTGGAAATCCCCAAACATGCTGACCGTCTGCATACATTTGGAGTTTTGAAAACGGGCAGCCATAAAGCGGGGGTTGGGGCCAATCGCAAAACGTTGGGAAGTTCTAAACCGAACATCGTCCTATGATGTCCTCCTGCTCCAATGAAATAAAGGAAAGCCGCAATTTGGTGAAAAAGGAAGCGGGCAGCTGGAAACATTCCAGAGGGCCCACAGCACCAAGGTGAGGTAGCAGAAGTCCCTGACGAGGCTGCTACTGTGGAACAGCTGTGCAGATCCAATTGTAAAGTGCTGACTGGCACAATCCTGCAGTAGATAAAAATTGTGTAATGCTCTTTCCCAATAAGCACTGGGGTCTTAATTGCAATGATGTTAAAATCTTTTAATCGTTACTGAAAAACAAGCCATATGTCTAACGAACTCAAGTGGTGACAAAGTCGCAAAAACTGTGTTTAAAGTGACAAATCAACAACTCTGTTACAAGCAAAGTTAAAAACACAGTGGCTGCATGTATGCACAAAGCTATGACGTTGTTTTTTTTTCAAAGTCAGGAAAATGTTTTATTTATAAAAACAGCTTGTTTCATTTACCGTCAAATCTGCACAGTGGTTTAAAAATACCCAACATCCCCGCTTCATTCAGACCAGCCCAAGCATGAACACCAACAAATTTTCTCTTAAAAAAAATTATTTTGGCTCCATGTCGTTGAGCTCTGGATCGTTAACTCAGAACAGTGATGAAAAGCAACCCTAGGAGTGAGGAAGCCCGGTTGCTTCACGAGTAAAAGTGTTTATTATTGAGATCTCGGAATGACCAAGTTAGAAATGGCCGCTATTTCCTCTGCCGATTAGTCCACAGAAAGCACTGTCTCAGGGGGCCTGGGAAAAGTCCTGTCAGGCAGTTCATGCCCTAGAGCATGCTGGGACACATTACTTCTGAAGAGAGC